CTTAGCAAACACGTGAAATGGCCAAGTAGAACACCAGTTGCTTTTAAAGAGTAATATAACGTTTATGTCACAATGGTCTTATTGGAGCTACTGACATACTGTTTTTATAATTTGATATTGCATGTAAAATTAGGAATAGCATCCATCCATAATTCACAGTGAGTTGTCTAATCATCCTGTTGAATCATCCAAACAAATAGATACTTGAATGCGGAGATGTGAACTTCTAACCTGAGAATACATTTTTGAGAGATATGATGGCTTTTCACACTTGCTGTTTTTTTAGTTCTATGTTTGAACGTTGGTGATGCCAATTCTTTCCATAAACCTGTTCGAGACATGTTAGCACTATCAAAATACGGAGTTCCAGTGGAGGCATGGTGAACCAAACATGTTTCAAGGGGTGGGCTGATGGGGGTTCGCAGGGGTTCGGGAGAGACCCTAGCTAAAATTCTGTGCAGTTCGGGGAACCCCCAAATCCCATTCCTGGCTGGCCCCACCCTCCCCTCCCCTTCCAGGAGTCCCATGCAGCTTGTTTTGGATGCAGGTAAGCGCAGGGCATGCGCAGAGGCTCAGGGAGGGCAAAAAACAGGCCTTCTGGAAGTTTGAGAAGGCTTCCAGAGAGCCTCCGGAGTCTGGAAAGGCCATTTTCGCCCTCCCGGACGCTTGAGGAAAGCCTCTGGAGCCCAGGGAGAGAGAAAAGCCCCTCTCTGTCATGGTGCAGGAGACCAACTAGGCCATGCCCACCATGGCCACGCCCACCCAGCAACCAGGCAGAAAACTCTTTGCTAAAATTTTTGAAGCACACCCCTGCATGTTTCCCTAGAGAGTGGAGTTGAAGATCATAGAAAAAACTGAAGAACCAGTGAGTAAAGCAGTTGTTCGGAGCCTCTTTGGACAAGGAAAGGACAGGAAATCACCAACATGTATTCCAGATGCCTGTTCCTCTGGAGCAGATGACAGGATAGCTGTCTCCCATGGGTCTGAATGCCAGGAGTGGAAGGGACTAATCAAGCTCACAAGCTCAAATGTGGCAGAACCTTATAAAGGATATGACATTCACGAACCTCACATCTAATCACTTCCAGAAATTGGTCATCTAACTATTTTAAAGTTATTACAGATCTTTGGAACGATAAATTTGAAAAGCCACCTCGTGAATCTTATTTCTGAACAAACAAAAAGATGTAAGAACCCAAGAATTTCAAATAAATGGCAAAAAGCTAAATAAGATTTTGAACCAAGAAAGATGTAAACAAATTAAGGATTCAGACAAATTTGTAATATGGAAACTTTTAGTGTAAGATTTTGGAATTAACTATATAAACAGCTTTTTGTGGTAATCAAAATTATTTTGCCTACTGTAAATCATAACAGAGATTAGAAACTTAATGATATAAATTAGACACTAACAGGGATTAAAGATTCTAGGCAAAAAGAAAAAACTCTGCTTTTGGTTTTGATTAGAATTGAGATTTACAAAATATTAAACTCTATAACATTGGAAATATAAAATGAGATTTTTGAAGAATGAGTTCAGAAATTGGTAGCCATGATATCAACAATATCAGCAATATCTGCTTCTGTAAATATACAATTTCAAAAGGAAGCTAATGAAGGAATGACAGATGTAAAACCTTGCTTGATGCAGAAATAGTAGAATAAAAAATACTGGATTTTAAAAAATGTAGATTACAGAAAAGACTTTTAAAATGGAAGTACCAGTGACAGGCCAAGAGAATGACCCCAATAAGGACTCTGCAATGGATATACATAGGAACCTGGCTTAAGTTTTAAAAATTAAAAGGGAAATACAAATGATAAATGAAAAGAATGACTTGAATTATTTTTTTTAATTAAATTTGCTGTGATAAATCCTCAAAGAAGGCTATGCAATGGGACAAAGAAGAATCTATATACTGTTAAAATTCTTGAGTCTGTAACCTTTAACTGGATGAAATGGTGCATAACAGGGCAAAATATTTTCAGTCAAGGTATCTCAAATGAACTAACTTATGGAATTCTGGGACCTGTTTCTATGAAGGGAATCAAATTTGGGAAAGTTGTGACTGCTTCAGCCCTGCCAGGCTGCTGCTAGTTCAGGACCCACACCATATGGCTGGGGTCATGTGATTCTCATTTTCAATGTTCCCAGACAGCTACCTAGCCATTTGCACAATCCCACAACCCCGGCCCAGGAAGGAAGGAGTATCTTTGAAAAACTGACTCAATGGATCATGGTTTGTCTTGTTTGAGAAAAGAATTCTATGACAATATTTGAATGAATTAAAAATGTAAGTTTTTGAGAAGTAAAAGGAAGGCATATAAAGTTGGTTAATTGATCAAGGTTAAAATAAGATGTTTTTATCAAATTCTGGCAACTCTTTACAGGGTTTGTGCTGATTCCAGGATTAAAAAGTTGATACAGATTTGCTTACAGATAAGGGATGAGTTAAGGGAAAAATAAGTATCTGTTGGAAAACTTATAGGGGTAAAGAGCTACGAAAGTTGATTATACATGGTTGAGATTGAAAGTCACTTCTTTGTATATTTGTTTTCTTTTTCCTTATTTCACTCTTTCCCTTTTCCCCTTTTTCTTTGCATTTTTTACTCTCTCCCTTTCTGTGTCTGAGATTATCTTGCATTAGTTTTTATTACTACCCTGTTTCTCTAACAACATGGCCTCCCCCAATAGGAAGTCCCAGCATGTTTTATAGGCATGAAATGAAATTAAGCCCCTCCCCCCAAATTAAGGCCTATATTAAACCATGCGAAATGGGGGGGAATGGTGGTGGGGCTTGCCGTTAGGAAGTACTTTTGTTGCACACCCGGATATGGTGCTGCCTGTGTTGACCCCGATACGAAGTGCCCCACCAACGCCGAGGTCAACATCCAAGCCATCGCTGCCCGCCCGCCCAAAGATGCAAGGGGGGGAATTAAGTCACCCCCAAAAAGATGGCCTAGCCATTTTTTCAGGGCTCAAAAAAAAATAAGACCCGGCCTTATTATATGAGAAACACGGTATAATTTCTTCAGTAAAATTGTGTGGGTTTCTTTACTATACACATACATAGAAATATGTATATACAACTGCTGTATATTACATGTTTCACAAAAGTGGATAATCTCATTTAGTCACATGTTTTTAAACATATACGTTTATTTTTATCATATACAAACTTAACAGTCATGTTACAGAAAACCACTTGGATAATGTATCTCTTTCATAGCATAAGGAAAGGCAGTCTGATTGATGTACAGCCCTGCTTTCTTCCTCCTTTCTGACTCATCAGCTTTATTTCACAAAATATCTCTGCGTCAGTAATCTGGAAGATAGCTCTGGACTGCTGAGGAAAGAAAGAAAGGAGCCAGCTCTGGGAAATTTACAGTGTTCCACTAAGTCAGAAGCAATAAATAGACAATTTAGATCACAGGTTACCAGAATAGAATAACAAAACAACAGAGTTGGAAGGGACCTTGGAAGTCTTAACCAGGGGTCTCCTGTATCATTTCAGACAATTGATTGCCCAATCTCTTTTTGAAAATCTCCATTGATGGAGCACCCACAGCTTCTGGAGGGAAGTTGTTCCACTGATTAATCGTTCTAACTGCCAGGAAATGTCTCCTTGATTCTAGGTTGCTTCTCTCTTTGATTAGTTTCCACCCATTGCTTCTTAGAATCATAGAATAACAGAGTTGGAAGGGACCTCGGAGGTCATCTTGTCCAATCCCCTGCTTGAGCAGGAGAGTCTATTCCAAATATTAGCCTCTACCTAGGATTGAACTCCCAGCCTCTTGACTGTGTGGCGAGAGCTCCACCTCTAGGCCACCAGAGCTGATGTGTTGCTTTCAGGTGCTTTGGCTGCCTTTGTGGCAGCCTCTGAGATATTTGAACACTGCTACCATGTCACCCCTAGTCCTTCTTTTCATTAAACTAGACATACCCAATTCCTGTAGCCCTTCTTCATATGTTTTAGCTTCCAGTCCTCTACAAATGGAGTCATCTATGCAGGAACAGAAAGTTGACCAGAGGAGGAGGGTAAAATCAATTTCATGATGGTCAAATGGTTGTACTTGATGTTTAACCTTAATGATTTAAACCATAGTTTACAGGTAGTTCTTGACATAACAATTGTGTGTTGTGACCAGAAAATTTTCATTAAGTGGCACAGTCATGTAAAGGATCACATGATTGCACCTGATTTTACCTTTTTATCCACAGTGGTTAAGCAACATGCTGCAGTTGTTAAGCAAGACCTCACGTGATCATGATTTTTGACATTCTTTGCTGGCTTCCCTATTGACTGCTCATCAGAAACCAGCTAGGAAGGTCACAAATAGTAATCACATGACCCCAGGACAGTGCAACACTCATAAATACATGCCAAGTGCCAGGTGCCCGAATAGCACTCAAGTACCGTGAGACTACTGCACTGAATTTAAGTGCAAGAACCAGCCATAAGTCACTTTTTTTCAATGCCACTGTAGCTTCAAATGGTTGCTAAATGAATAGTCATACAGGCAGTCAAGGACTACCTGTAAGTTAATCACACCAGCTGGTTCATATAACATGCATTGATAAAATGTAGACTAGTCTGTAGATATTAGGGTTTGTAAAAATCAATCTCAGTCAAAATAGCAATAGCACTTAGACTTATATACCGCTTCACAGTGCTTTACAGCCCTGTCTAAACTTTACAGAGTCAGCATATTGCCCAGTGGTGGGATTCAATTTTTTTTACTACCAGTTCTATGGGTGTGGTTTGGTGGGCGTGGCAGGAGAAGGATACTATAAAATCTCCAGTCAGAGGTGGTATTTGCCGGTTCTCCGAACTACTCAAAATTTCCGCTACCGGTTCTCCAGAACTGGCCAGAACCTGCTGAATACCACCTCTGATATTGCCCCCAAACAATCTAAGTCCTCATTTTACCCACCTTGGAAGGATGGAAGGCTGAGTCAACCTTGAGCCTGGTGAGATTTGAACTGCCAAATTGCAGGCAACTGGCAGTCAGCAGAAGTTGCCTGCAGTACTGCACTCTAATCACTGCACCACTGTGGCTCATATTTGACCTTCTTTTACTTATTCATTTTATAACACAGAATTTATGTGAAAACAATTTAAAGAATCAGTTTACATATCAGCATATTAAAAATGTAATAAGCATTCCATTTAAAAAAAGTGTGCTATTTACATATTAGAAAATAATGCCAAAGGACTCCAAAGAGTAATAATAATATTACGGTACTGATAATGTTTTGGCCTTATTTTAGGTCCAGCCTTGGGTCAAAACCATTTCAGTAAAAATAACAACAGACTTTTCCAGTGTCTTAAATGCACAGTACATTCATAGTAAAAACTCCCATCACCATTACTAAACATATTCTTCAGGATAAAACACACATACTCTCTGTTTTTTAAAAAAATGTTTAAAATTTGCATTATCAAAAACCATATTTGCAGCATAGAAAATCTTTGAGACCTACTGTATTAAACCTTATTTAGATATTTGGAAAAAAAGCAACTCCCTTAATCATAAGTCCTCAACATTTGGGATCATTAGATATGTTGTAATTTGGAAAGTACATGGTATGTATTCTGGTTGCTTTAAAGGGCAAAATGGCTGTTCACCAAAGAGATGCCATTGGACAATACAAAAATCAAATCGATGAAAAATCTGAAAAGTACCAAAGAAAAAAAAAATCTAGTGGCCATACATATTGTATTCTTAGCCAGCAACAAATCCTCTTACCACCAAGGATGTACTCAACATGGCTCTCCTCAATCCATCAACCTCTAGTCTAGAGGGCAAAACATTTCATAGGAAACTGTCTCATTTAACTTCATGGGACTTCTAAACAAAATACCTAATATTGCACCATGGTTAAGAATACAGCTGTCAGTGCTGGGTACTTTATTAATAAATCACGAATACTTTTCTCTCCCAAGTTTTCTTTCTTTTAAAACTGAAATCTGTTTCTTTATCTGGTAATATTTAAGGTGCAAATACTCTAAAGGTACTGTATATCTTAAACTTGCAGTAAAATCCTGACTCGGAGGGACAAAACTGGCTGAACTATACTCCTCAGCAGAGATTGAGAAGAAGGTTTGTTCTAACATCTTGAATTACTTTGAGATCAGAAGGGATACTTGAAATGGATTTCTTGAAAGGTCATTCAGACCAATCCCCAAATCTCATTACAGCAAAATTGCACAGATATTATTTTCATGTCATGCTTAATTGGTGCATTCCTACATGCCCAGATGGCTCTTTGTCATTCAATCTCCTCTACTGCTGTTCAGCTCCCTGTCTAGTTCCAAAACAGTCCAACTTTTAAAAGCACATATGCTCTCACCTTAAACCTTTCACACCACCATAGTAGTTTTATTAGAACCATCCAAACAAATTTAGAAGAAAACAGACCAAACTTCCTTTTTTTAAAATAAAAAGTTTTCCAGAACAGTTTTCTTCATAATTTCGAATTATTAGAATGCATTGGCAGGACTGCCACGGTGCCTTTCTTTTTGCTTGTATGTTACATTCTTAAAAGTTGATGTGGACCCTCTGTAGAGGGGATTTGTTCCCTAGAAAAGAAGAAAAACACTATATGTAACAGAATATTTCACACCTGATTTTGTGGGCTAATTAAACAAACCTAACATATCAACTGATTTGGGCGGGGGGTTTTAATTCTTTCATAATTTGCTGAATGAGTGTGGCTTTTTAAAAAAGCCTTTCACAGTCTTCAAAATACTCAATATTGATTTAAAATTACCATATTAAAACCAAACATTAATACGGACGTATCTAGACCATATCTATTCCTGTGATTCCATCACAATAATTAAACAGCAAACTCTTAATCCGAGCCTCTTCACACTAAAAACTACGCAATGAAGAGCAAAGTGGGTGCTGAACTTTCCTTTCACCCCCATTGTTGTTTTCACACGATTGCCTGGGAAGCAACAGGTATGGGGTGATGGGAATCAGCTACTCACCATTACCGGGCTCCACAAACAAGCAAAGCTCCATCTGCAGGATGCAGGCAGTACACAAAATCACACACACCCTCCAGTTCGTGGAAAAACCTCTCTCCACGGAACCGGTCCCTGATGCCCAAAACATTGAGGGCCACTGGTCTAGATAACAGATTTCCTGAAGTTCGATGAGCAACCAGTCCAAGTTACCTGGCTACAAACATAGAAGCCCAGTCCATACCTGACCAGTTGTCTGGGGTCTGCATAGCAAACCACCGGCTGGCAAAATGTCAGGAAATCTGTTATCTAGACCACAATCACTAAACCCTGTAATCCAAGGGTCTTTGAGCTTGGCAAGTTTAAGACTTGTGGTCTTCAACTCCCAGAATTCCTCAGCTAACATGACTGAAGGAGGAATTCTGGGAGTTGAAGTCCACAAGTTTTAAAGTTGTCAAGTTTGAAGACCCCTGCTGTAATCCAACCTGCCCAGTGGTGGGATTCAATTTTTTTTTTACTACCGGTTCTGTGGGCGTGGCTTGGTGGCATGGTAGAGGAAGGATACTGTATAATCTTCATTCCCACCCCACTCCAGGGGAAGAATGCTGTAAAATCCCCATTCTCCCCCCCACTCCACTAACCTGCTTTCCAGCTCTGTTCTCCTGTACAGGGCAACAAAAAAGACCCAGCCAATCAGCTGGGACTCGGGAGGCAGAGAATAGATGGGGGAGGGGCCAGTTAGAGGTGGTATTCCGAACGACTCAACATTTCTGCTACCAGTTATCTGAAGAACTCAAAATTTCTGCTACCAGTTCTCTAGAACTGGTCAGAACCTGCTGAATACCACCTCTGAACCTGCCCCAAAGAACTGGAAACATAGGCTGCCAATGGAGCAGCACTTAAAAAGGAGAAAAAATGGCCTTGGGCTCCTGGAGGATGTTTAATCTCAGCCCCTTCTGCTATGCACCTGGAGATGTGGGAAATGTATTCTCATGTGTGGTCGGGGCCTTTGTTGGCAAAGACCACATACACTTATACTAAACATTTTCCAAAACAAATAACTTTTTACAGTACCTGTTTATCCAAAATAAATGCTCATTTTATAGAAAAAAATCTATGTCAGGTTTGGGTTCCATTAGCGTTGCTGACTTTTGCCATGTAATGTGGCAGTTTTATCATAGTATTGCAAGTCATCATACATGGCTGTGAAGTGTGAGGCAGATATAATAGCAAAAAAATTGAGGATTTAATTTCTTAGGAATAATTTCAATGCATTCTTGCATCTGTCCAGCTGGAGGCATTATATCACCTGGGACTCTTAGACTTGGCAAAAAGATTGATCGAATGTGGGAGATCAGATTCTAGGTTTATAATATCACGCATGGTATAAAATGGACAGAGATATTTTTCATCCTTTGTCATAACAATACAGTAGGCAGTGATTACAGCAGATAGGAAGGAGACAAAGGAAGTTCTTCTTTGCATAGCACATAAGCAAACTTTAGATTTATTTTGGTACTAAACTTTGGCCACTATTCTGATTGACTGTAAAAGATTATAGAAATCCAGGTCTTATCAATGGCTACTGGATATTAAGGGCTCTTCTGTGTGGCAACACTAAAGCTGCTATTCAGCATGGAACTGGGAGAAAATTCTGCTGGCTTAAAGAAGAATGAACTGTGCTTGCAACCCCTGGTTACCCATTGTTGGCCACAAAACACAACAGAGGTTCTGCGCACACAAAAATTCAGGGGTAAAAGAGAAGTGGGGCAGATAATTCTTTCTTTGATTCCAGTCCTGTTGCAATAAAGGAGTCATTGCCCCCTCTTCCCTTCCCTTGTAGTCTTCTGCTACCAACTTCCCAGCTGGACAAGTCCATTTCTAAGGGAAGTCGGTCTGTCTGTCTTTCTCTCTCTTCCCCCTATCATTGACATTAAGGTTAGGGTTAAGGTTGGGGTTAGTGTTTATTGAAGTCCACCTCAAAAACCAATATTAAATTAGGGTTAGACTTCCTGATGTGACAGCCAAAAGCCAACATTAAGGTTAGAGTTAGGGTTGGCATTGGCATCCGTGTTAGGAACAGAGTTAGGGTTAGGTTTACAGGTAGCATTAGGTTTAGGATTAGGTTAGGCCTAGGCATTAGTCTTAGTGTTGGCATTGGTGTTAGGATTTTAATTAAGATTAGGGTTTGGGTTAGAGGCAGGTTTTGTATTGGCGCTATAGTTTGGGTTGGCACTAGGGTAAAAGTTAGCATTGGTATTAGGGCTGGGCTAGGACTACTATTGCTGTTAGGGTTACTGTTAGCTTTAGCATTGGCTTTAGGGTTAGGGTTGGCTTTAGGGTTAGAGTTAAGGTGTGGTTAGTGTTAGGATTAGAGTGAGGGTAAGGGTTAGCGTTGGCATTAGGTTTAGAGTTGGGATTAGCGTTAGGGTTAGGTTTTGACTTCCGTGATGTCACAGCCAAAAAAGCAACATTAAGGTTTGGATCAGAGTTAGTGTTCAGGTTAGTGTTGGTCTTAAGGTTTGGATTACTATAAGGTGAGTTGGGTTGAGTGAGAGAGCCATCTTTATGCCTAAATGGGTCTATGACACACAGTCTCCTAGGCCAGCATTTTCACCACTACACCAAACTGGCTCTACTATGGTTACAGTAGCAATTTTTTTTATCTTGCAACTGTTTACAACAATGTTGTCCTGAATCTTTTTTTTTTTGTTAACATACCGTTTGCCATTTGGCCTTTGACCTCTCTGCTTCAAATTTAGCAACTTCTTTACGGTCTTCAAATGAAATAAACAATTTCCACATGGAAAGTAAGACAATCCCAGTGACGACAACTGCAGTAGAAACACCCAACATAATCGTTGTAATATTTGGAGGTTGTGGATAATCTGTAGAAAGAAATAGTGAAAATTGTTAAATAAATAAATAGCTACTAATATGGGAAAAAAGGAAGAAACCTGCAGTATAGGTAAATGTTACTAATGATCAAGAATCCTGGAAATGTTGGAAGGCAAAATTTGGAAAGTGTCAGATTAGAAAAAGTTGCTGTGAACTTTTCAGTTTTGTATAGGCTTTATTTAAAGATGGCTCAAATCACAATGTGTTCCTCTGTACACACACAGCATTGGCATGTATGATAGCTGCCTTGTTCACCGTGTTTCTCATATAATAAGGCCGGGTCTTATTTTTTTTTTGAGCCCTGAAAAAATGGCTAGGCCGTCTTTTCGGGGGTGACTTAATTCCCCCCCTTGCATCTTCGGGCGGGCAGCGATGGCTTGGATGTTGACCTCGGCGTTGGTGGGGCACTTCATACTGGGGTCAACGCAGGCAGCACCATATCCGGGTGTGCCACAAAAGTACTTCCTAACGGCAAGCCCCCCCACCATTCCCCCCCATTTCACATGTTTTAATATAGGCCTTAATTTGGGGGGGAGGGGCTTAATTTCATTTCATGCCTATAAAACATGCTGGGACTTCCTATTGGGGGAGGCCATGTTATTGGAGAAACAGGGTATATGTAAACCACTTAAAAAGTAAGTGTCAGCCTTTGGGAGATCTAGAACAAATGAAACATTGAACAAACAATACCTTAACATTGGCTAGCATGTTCCTTATTTTGCCATATTTATGAATGGCCACACAAAGAGACCTGCTTTAGGAGGCAAGCTGCCTCTTACACTTCATTTTATTAAAATATTTTGGCTTAGAATTTGGGAACCATAAGCAGAAAGTTATTGTAGAATGGAATTTGCTCATCATTCTTGAACTTTATGCACTAAAACCCTCTTAACAGTATTAAATGAAACATAGGGACAGATATTTAATATTCTGTAGTAGAAAAACTTTCAGGAAAGGCATACGGGTAATCCTCAACGTACAACCTTTCGTTTAGTGATCGTTCAAAGTTACAACAGCACTGAAGAAAGTGACTAATGATCCCTTTTCACACTTTTGACCCTTGCAACATCCCCATGGTCATTTGATCAAAACTGAGATGCCTAGCAACTGGCTCATATTTATGACTGTTGCCATGTCCCAGGGTCATGTGATCACCTTTTGTGACTTGCTGACAAGCAAAGTCAAGGGGGAAGCCAGGTTCACTTTACAGCTGTGTTAGCAACTTAACAACTGCTGTGATTCAGTGAACAATTGTGGCAAGAAAGGTCGTAAAAGGGCCAACATTCACTTAACAACTGCCTCGCCGCAGCCGCAGACAACTTGCTACGGCACAATTCAACAATTCAATTTAATTATCTAAAAATAATTAAAATTTTATTTTAATTTTTGTCATTCACATTTCATTTTGTCCCTCCTTTGGCATCCTTTCTTTAATGATTCCATTCCACCATTTCTTCAATATTAGTGTACTGTAGATAACTTTGGCAAATGTTATATCCTCTTATATCCTGCAGCGAGTTGTCCCGCAGCAAGTTGGCTGTGGTGAGTTGTCACAGATCCCTTCCAGACAGCTCTTTTTAGAAATGGATATATTGATTTATTTAGTTTTATTTATTTATTTTAGTTTGTCAAGCATAGATGAGAAAACAAGTATAAGTATGAACATAACATATAAATATACAAGTATAAACTGGTATAAGCATATACATAATAAATGAGTACGAATAAGTGGGAACAGTAAGACAGGGACGGTAGGCACGCGGTGCGCTTATGCACGCCCCCTTACAGACCTTTTAGGAATGGAGTGAGGTCCACGGTAGACAGTTTAAGGTTAAAGTTTTGGGATAAAATAAAATATATGTTATATTTAAATATATTTAAAAGGTTAAAGTTTGAGGATGTAACAACAAATAAAATATATGTTAGTAAGCTAAGGAATGTCGGTGTACATAAAATATATGTACATAAAATATATGTACACCGACATTCCTTAGCCTACTAAGATTAAATGTCTCTTACCTTTTTGCTTTATGTTGTGAATGATGACTTTTCCCTGTTCATTAGCTGTCATTACAAATGTGATAACAGATTCGTTTTTCCCATGTAACACACAATGAACCCATTTATCTTCCGTAATATCTGAGAATGAGGAAAAACCCATTTTACAGTTCAGAGAGAAACATATCAGGCAGGTATTCCGAAGATCAAACAATTTCTAACATCAGGTTGCTTTTAACAGGCACTAAGAAGCAAAGCTGGAAATATACTAAAGGGTTTGCAAATAATTGTTCTACTGTTTGAGCAGGGCGGTTTTCTTTTTTCTTTTTGGTTACTCTTTGCACTGATCAGATGAGAAGGTCTAGATGTTGCCAATCTGTGTTGACCATGACGTTGGTCAAGTATGGGAAATTTATTGAATTGGACGTGCTTCTAAGGCAGCTGCAAAAGCTATCAGGGAAATATAACACAGGTAGTCCTTGATTTACAACAGTTCATTTAGTGACCGTTCAAAGTTACAACGGCACTGAAAAAAATGACTTCTGGCCATTGTTTACACTTAATGACCAATGCAGCATCCCCTTGGTCATACGATCAAAATGCACATGGTTAGCAAGTGCCCTGGGCCATGTGATCACCTTAGGTGACCTTCTGACAAGAAATTCAATGGGTAAGCTAGATTCACTTAACGTTTTACTAACTTAACAACTTAACAAATGTGGCAAGAAAGGTCATGAAATGGGATAAAACTAATTTAACAAATGTCTCAGGTAGCTACAGAAATTTTGAGCTCAATTATGGTCGTAAATCGAGGACTAACTGTAATCTTCATTAGAGTAAACATGTTCTCTCTATCTTTTTGCTACTAGTACATCAGAGGTGGTATTCAGCAGGTTCTGACCAGTTCTGGAGAACTGGTAGTGGAAATTTTGAGTAGTTCAGAGAACCGGCAAATACCACCTCTGACTGAAGGTTTTGCAGTATCCTTCCCCTGCCAGGCCCACCAAGCCACTCCCACAAAACCGGTAGTAAGAAAATTTGAATCCCACCACGGTAATACATGATGTTTAAGTGTACAGGGTTGTCCATTATGAAAATACTAATCCTTTTCAAGAGGAATGCCATATTTATTGCTGTCAGAATGCTGATAATTAGCCTCATGTACACATGCCTAATAACTAAAAAGAAATCGTGATAGGAATAAAGCATGCACTTCAAGGTAATACAGATAAAAGTAATGTAAGGTATTCCCAGTTTGGTAATCAATGCTTTCACCTAAATTTCCTCAGACACAGTCCTTTTAATGTTTATTCAAGCGGCTTTAAAAAAGGTGGAATATGCATGAGGGAGCAGACAACATAAATAAGAATGGAATCTGAAAATGTAGACCCCTAGGCCAATACTACCAGAGACTCTCATGTCTCATCAATATAACTCAAAATAATAATAACAAAGTTTCTGTGAAATCTATAGCCGTGTTAGAAAAAGGATTCTACGGGGAGCCACTCTAAATAAAATGATTTGTAAGTTTCACATTGCACCATAGCTTATCTGTATTTTTAAAATATTTGGCATTGTTCTCATTGTCTACCTACATTACATATTTTTTTCAGAAGAAGTTTTCGCCAAAGTTATCAACAGTACAGACGTTTTCTCAAAGTTTAAAACCAGCAGGATATGTTTTTGAAAAAGTGAATAGAAAATAGTTGTTTCCCCCCTCCTTTAAAAAAAAAAGAGAAAAATAGGTATTTCCCTAGAGAAAGGGACTTTTTAAAAGCTATTCTAAAGACACACACACAAATACACACCCCAGTTTTCTGGAAGAAGTAGCTTCATTGCTTTAGCAATGTCATGCTATCTTTTGTTTGATAACGGATAACAGATAACAGATAATCAGAGTTGGAAGGGACCTTGTAGGTCATCTAGTCCAACCCCGCTACCCAAGCGAGAAATCCTCCACCATTTCTGATAAATGGCAGTCCAATCTCTTCTTGAAAGTCTCAAGTGATGACGCTCCCACAACTTCTGATTGGTTGATCGTTCTCACTGACAGAAAGTTTCTCCTTGTTTCCAGGTTAAATCTCTCCTTGTTCAGTTTCCATCCATTATTCCTTGTCTGGCCTTCAGGTGCCTTGGAAAATAGCTTGACTCCTTCCTCCCTGTGGCAGCCCCTCAAATATTGGAAGACTGCTATCATGTCTCCCCTAGTCCTTCTCTTTACTAGACTAGCCAAGCCCAGTTCCTGCAACTGTTTGTTGTATGTTTTAGCCTCCAGTCCCCTAATCATCCTGGTTGCTCTTCTCTGTACTATTTCTAGAGTCTCAACATCTTTTTTATAATGTGGTGAGCAAAACTGGATGCAGTACTCTAGGTGTGGTCTTACTAAGGCTATATAGAGTGGGATTAGTACTTCCCTTGATCTTGATTGTATCCCTCTGTTAATACAATTTAGGATTGCATTAGCTTTTTTGGCGGCTGCTGGTCTCTTCACACTAGTTCTTTTGTTTATAAATTATGCTGATCCAGTTAAATAGTTTATGCTATCCTATAATAGGTATATAATATGATATGGAGGTCATATAAACCATCACAAGATTATTTTACACCAAGTGGTTTTCTTTTCTCCAAATATTCTCAGGCTCTAAAAATAATGTTTTTGTCACACCCAACATATTTAAACATTTGCATACCAGCACAACAGAATGCGTATATATTTTGGGTTGTTTCCATTTTTGAAAGTATGCTTTGCTACACTCTTAGCAATTTGTGGCAATCAGTTTCAAGTTGCAGTTGGTCTGATTTGGACGTTGCACATTATTGCATCTGTCTGAATTAAAAGTGAGCTCATGTCTGCAAAGTGTGGATATAGCGACTTTGATTGTCTTGCCTGTCACCAACCACTATAGTTACCTTCAATATTCATTCTGGTTACTCATGACCTCACATTGCAGAGAAAAAGTTTTCCTTTTTTCCCTCACCATTTAGATAATTTAGAGAATTATATTTCTTGATTGGCAGCTTAAGGTCATATTTCTCTGGGAATCTCCATTGACATCACTGGTATAAGAACAACTGGTGAATTTAAATTGCGTAATTTGAAATGCCCCTTAAATTGATCTCTCAAGAGAGTGGACAAACATCTAATTTGAAGGTATTGTATTATATACAATATAACAAAGATGTATATTATAAAACACATCTTTCCATATACAACTGTTTCAGGTATCATGGAACACCATTTTTAAGAAGGCTGTCACTAGATAACTTAAAGCGATAGCGGAACATATCACTGGAATCTTTTTGTACACTATAAAACACAGTAGCCTCAGGATATTAAAGCAGTTCAGTGTGTTTGAATTAAGATTTACTGAATGGCTGGCTGCTATGGCTGCTGGCACCAGACTAGACTACTTTAAAAAAAAAAAAAAAAAAGCATCTATCATGTGAATTGGAACCAAGAAGATCTTTCAATCTGTGTGGTCAGATAAATAGGGTGGCTTACCTCTCCCTATACAAGGCCTCAATGTCCATCTCCCCAGAGGGGAGGCTGACTTAGCTGAGGCTTCCCAGAAAGTCAGCAGAACATGGATAGATTGGAACTTTTTTATTACACAAGAAAGTGAAAGCAGCTGGCAGTTTCAGACTATTAAGGCTACTTCCTATATTTACATCTTCCCTGAGTTCAAAATCTATACTCTCTTCTCATATTTCCCCTTGTGTAACAATGGCTCGCTAGTTAATGTCCCTCCCTGCCTGGTTTAGCTCCTTTGCATTTCTATCTGGGAATCTCTTGCTAGAAATGTAACACTGATGCCAAAGATAACTTCCGAGACAACTTTTAGGTGCCCCAATTGAATAATCCAATGGGGTAGCTAGCCCTGATACTTTGGCTTGGTATTGTGTTTTTGAGGCAGATTCCTTTACTCCTCTAAATTCTTTTAAACAGACAAGCATTGCTTTGTAAATTCTTTCAAACTGCTGTTGTCCTGTGTTCTGATTTCATTCTGTGCATCTTTTAATTTGTATTATTTATTTTGTTCTTCTTAAACTTACAGTACTGGTTTCGACTTTCCCTTTGTGGGAGAGTTTCAACTGTTTAGAAGACTTGGAAATATATTTCAATAAACTCAGCAAAAGAACAAATAATGACAATTTGCTCTGTTTCCTTTTTCTTTCTCCCTAATACCCAGTTGAATTCTGGTCAACCTGGCACGTTGAGAGGAAATATTTAATGTTTGAAATGTAGAAATAAAATCTGCCAGGAAAGACAGATTGAGAAGGGAGGAAGAGCAAGTCAGAGTAGATGTAATAACTTCTTTGTCATCTTTCATGTTGAAGTGAGTTTTCTGTGAACATCTCCCTTTAGTATAATTCAGCTTTGCAACCAAGAATGTTCATGGCACAGAGATAGGGGGGAAAAACCAGGACCAAACTGATTATTAGGAAGTGTAGGGCAACTACCGTACTTCATGCAAATGTATACTGAACACAGTTACTGATTCTTATTATCTTTTCAACTATTCAACTGCATTTAGTATGCAGTCCATCCTTGGATATCTATTCCTCCTATGTTGTCTCAGGTGTGAAGGACACTATCTTATCTTATCTTATCTTATCTTATCTTATCTTATCTTATCTTATCTTATCTTATCTTATCTTATCTTATCTTATCTTATCATCTTCATAGTTAATTAAAAAAAATCCTCAGTTGTCAGTCTTGAGATCTTTTGTACACAGACTGAAGAGAATAGGCAGCCTTGTAGCCATTGCATCTTCACTTTCATTGTGATAAATGGCAAATAAATCACAGAACATCAACAGACAAGCAAATGCAACATCGCAGTCCTGAGCCTGAGTAGCTTTAGCCTAATGCTATTGAAAAATGTTCCACGAGGGACAATTGAAAATATATGTATAATCACATATCCTATGTATGCAACACACACACACACACACACACACACACACACACACCATGCAAGCAGCAAGACCTAGTAAACTGATTGCTACAACTAACAATAGCCAAGCAATGAATTAAAGTACAGACCTTCATCATGACTGATCACTGCGTCAACCAATTTACATTTTTCAGCGCAGTCTTCCTGATGCAGTAGATAACATTCCACACAGCTCCTGAGAAAAATGGTGCAATGATTTATCAATCTGCTTTGCATTAAGAATCAAGGAATATAATATAATATAAGGAATGAGACAAAGGTACAATAAAGAATGGACAAAAGATACAAATATAATGACTCAAATTAAGATGATTAATTAAGATAGAATTAAAAAGAGTGAAATATGAGGAGAAGTTAATATAGAAGATTTAGAATGGTAAATAAAATAAGTAATGATATGTAATATGAGCATGAATACAGTGGAAGTCCATGAAGAAAGAGATACCTGGGTCCAAGTTACTTTCCAAAAAGATTTTTTTTTATGTTTTGTGTGTTTTGTATATATGTGGTTTTTTTTTTTGGGAGAATTAATGAAACCTTGCAGAAATATAGAATGAGAATAATGGTAACTAAGTCAGAAAGAAATAGATGAAATAATAATAATAAAATGGAATAAGAGTAAAGAGAAATAAAGAGAAAATGGCTAAGAGGTTTTTGTATGTTTATATGGAAATGGTTTAAAACAGAATTATAGTTCATCTGACTTGTTAAATTTATAATGGAAAAAGGTTTAAATATGTAATGGATAATGATGACTTGTGTGTTTTGAAAATTAATAAAACTTGTTTTAAAAAAAAAAGAATCAAAAGAGAATATATATACAGTCGCCATTTTTTAAGTACCGTGTGAAAGTTCTGCAATACTGAATAAGTAATTATCAGCATTTAGCATGTACCACACAGAAAAGGAAAGGGAAAAAAATTCTGGTGGTAAAAATAACCCTTACTCCTTTTCTCTCTCTGGATGCTCACCAAATTAAAAAAAAAAAAGCTTCTCACGGGAACCAGAATTATCTTGGTTATCTTTGCTCATAACAGTGATGAGCAAGTTTTATGAGTGCAGACACTGGACACTGGAGGGGAGTAGAGATTCTAAGAAGAAGAATAAAAATGCAAGTCTTCCTTTGTGTTGATTAATTTGGATTTACCAAATGATATGAACTGTCATAACTTTGGAAATGTCAAAGGAAATTGTTGAAGAATGGAGCCCCAATTTAGTAACCACAGTGTCAAAAGTGTCAGTAACGATATCTGATTCAATGGGTAAATTCTGTCCAAAAGATGGTAATGAAGGAATGACAGATGTAGAGCTAATTTTGCTTGACAAGATGGACAAAGTACGGAAGGTGGACATATAAATAACAGACCAAGAAAACAATTTCGAAAAAAAATGTTTTATTGGATATACAAAAGAAATTGGCTGAAGTTTTGAAAATGAAAGCAAGAATACAAATGATAAACAAAAAGGGTGAAAATGTTTTCTTATTGGATCTAGAAAGAGGCTTATTAAATCCTTGAAGAAGTCTGTATGATGGGATAAAGAACTGAAAAGAAATAAAATTCTACAACAATATTTGAATGAACTAATGATTACGTTGGTTAAAAGTAAATGGAAAGAATGTAAAGTTGGTTTATTTGAAAAGGATACAATAAGGCTTTCTCTGTTTGCAAAGTTTTGTCGATTCTCTACAGACATTTTACTGACGCCAGGATTCAAAAGTTGATGTTTTATGGATTTATTCTATAGATAAGGGATGGGATATGGGGTGAAGAAATACCTGTTAGTAATACCTTATAGATAGAGAATGGAGAGTTGCTGAATTTGCCTATTATATACAGTATTTCTTTTCTTTTTTTCTTCCACCTTTTCTTGTCCCTTACTATTGTTTTTTCTTTAATTTAGTTTGTATTAGCTTTTAATACTGAAGTCTAAATCTTTAATAGAAAATTATATACTGTGTCAGTAAGTTATTGGTCAAGGAAGCATGCCAGACTTTATTTAGATTCAGTAGAAGAGGGGAAAGACTATTTAAAAAATGGAACAGCTTAAAATGATTTTAACCTTCTACAGCAAGGGTGTCAAACTCAAGACTGCGGGGTGCTTAGATCTGGACCACCCTGGAAACAGCAAAGGACTGGCTCACGTGGCCTCTGTCAGTCAAAATGGAGCTTGGGAAGGCCACAGGCGGCCCTCCTGAGCTCTGTTTTTGCTGACAGAGGATTGCAGGAGGCTGTTGCAGCTGAAAACAGAGCTCAGGAGCCTGTTTTTGCTGGCAGAGCGCTTGGGCACCCCCGGCACAAATGACATCGTGCTAGCCATGCACACCCTGGCCACGCCCCCCGCCCCAAGGTCAAACACAACCTTGATATGGCCCTCAATTAAATCAAGTTTGACACCCCTGTTCTACAGTGTGAGCTGGGGATGAGAAGAAGGCAATTTCATGAGAACACGACAGAAAAAAACCCAATAACCATGGCACATTTGGCTTTGGTGCAGAGTAAAGAAGAAGTTTGATATCTTAGAAGTTAAAATTTATCTCTGTCTATCTATCATCTATGTATTTATCTGTTTTATGGATTGGTACACTACATGATTTTCAGATGTGTAAATCAGCTGAATTATTTGAGCAGTAATCAAAATCCCTGAACTGATTCAACACTCGTACAGGCTGGTCAGAAAGTTTAATTGATGAGCAAACTGTGGCTGGAGCCAAGCCTGAGCTTTCTGGTTGAAAAAAAAATAAAAAGAACAGAAAGTGGGCCAAAGTTTTTCTCCCACAGCCAGTCCCAGCAATGACTAACAGTAGTATCGGCTGGAGGTCAAAGAGGGCAGCACAATCCTCTCACTTCTACAACGTTTCACTTGTATACCACCCCGAGTCACTCCGTGAGGGAGATGGGAGGTTTCTAAATGTGATGTATAAATAAATAAACTATCAGCAGCTGTACTAGCAAATGTGCCTCACAAACCTGGCTGATTGTAACCTGCCTGGAAAACATCCTGATGTCTGGCATTGCCATTATTTTGCAAACGAAGCTACAACATTGTAGTAGCATCGGCTGGTGTTTAGCAATATGGTTGAGATGTAAAATGAGTAGTTGGAATTTGTCTGTGGCTTTGATTTAACAACTGCATTTATTTATAAAACAGCTGCCAGGCAACTTCCTCTCAGCTTGAACAGAAATAAATATCTGAAATTGTATCAGGAAATGCTCCCATGCTTCCGGATGTTTGAGGGGAAAAACAGCTTGGTTGTAGGTGGAGAATGTAAAGTTCAGATAGATTTAAGAGGTCCAGCCTGATTTTTAATTATTCTGATTTTGGCAAATTGGAAATACAGTACAAACTTTCCTGCAAATGTACCCAGAGAATAAGAAAGCTGACAAGGAATCAAGGAGGACCCAGGTTCAGTTCCTCACACTTCATTGAGGAAAAAGATCAAGGGAAATCAGTAATAACAATTAGATCATGGGTGTAACTAGCAAACAAATTGCTAACATAGAGAACATGAGTCAAAAAGAGGGCTGTGAAACTATTTATAAACTGTTTCAACTCCTAACCTCAAAACGACGCTACAGAGCACTACACACCAGAACAAGTAGACACAAGAATAGTTTTCCCCCAAATGCCATCACTCTGCTAAACAAATAATTCCCTCAACACTGTCCAACTATTTACAAAGTCTGCACTACTATTACTATTAATCTTCCCATCCTTCCTTTCATCCATCCTCTCCCACTTGTGACTGTATAACTGTAACTTTGTTGCTTAAAACCTTACGATTTTTATTGACTGTTTCCTAGTATGATTTGATTGCTTATTGTACTCTATGACTATTTATTAAGTGTTGTACTTTATGATTCTTTACTACTGTATCTTTTCTTTTATGTACACTGAGAGCATATGCACCAAGACAAATTCCTTGTGTGTCTAATCATACTTGGCCAATAAAGAATTCTATTCTATTCTATTCTATTCTATTCTATTCTATTCTATTCTATTCTATTCTATTCTATTCTATTC